TAAACTGAAATAAAATTTAAAAATCAGTTAATTTTTTTTTTTTTTTTTGTATTTCTCAGTGGCCCTAATCCTCTTCCGTAGAGTAATGTCATTGGTCCTATGCAACAATATGCATGCTTGTTTTTTTTCATGATTGACAGAAAATCAGGGTGTATTTCCTTTAAAGAGAAAAGCAGCATTTCTTGCTATATCTATACAAATGTTATAAGCACTACACGCACTAGATGCTGTTTATCAATGACTGAAGCTTAACTGGCTCTGATGAATGAGGAAGTAGGACTTGTTTATTCTTTGAAAAGGTTTGCATTTGAAATTACCAGCGACTATGGCAGTTGGTAAATCTGGGCCTATTTAACAGAATATAGTCTAAATATGTCTGTTATATGTGGATTTATACTTTTTTTATTTTGAAGATATAGAATGGTGCAGAGGTAAACAGAGGTAAAACCCACTCTTATCTTTGAAATGTTCTCTTTGCATCATAAAACAAAGCAAAATAATAGATTCAAGGGACGCCAAATAAATTTACTGTATTTACACAGTCACTGGAACTAGAAGAGGAACTGAGCACGTAATATATTAACTTCACTCAACAAGTTGTACATCTAGGATATAGTTACTCTGTTTAACCCATTTTATGTATTTTATTTAGGGCTGAAACAATTCATTGGATTAATAAAATATTGAAATAATGTCAACAAATTTAGTAATCGATTAATTGTTGACTGGAGTATAGAGACATTAAAACATGTCTTTAGCTCACAGAGCGACCCACTTAGAGCAGGAATTATATCAAAATTGTAAAAAAATAAATACAAATTTTGCCTTTTAGATAAAACATGTTTTTTGTCTGTAAATATTCTCCATCCAGAACTCCTCTACAAGTTATTCACATGTAATTGTTGGTAGGGACAAGTAGGTCGGTCTAAATTTCGGTAGGGACATGTCCCTATGGTCCCTATGCAAACCTACACCCATGGCCCGAAAGCGGATAGGCACCAGAACTTCAGGATCAGTCTACACTGTTCCAACAGGAAAATTAACGAGCAAAACATCCATATTTTCTAAATAAAGACAAACTATACTTTCCTGCTGCCTTTGCTAACAAATAGAAGCATATATTTAAACACCTGTAATTTCTACATAAAAGGTACTGTAGTGTACGGAGCCCCTCTGATGACATGGTCAAAAAAAATGTTTAATTGTGGCCACGAAGTAGTATTTCGTGCGCACGAAGTAGTATTTTGTGGCCACGCAAAAAGTATAACGTGCGCACGAAATACTACTTCGTGGCCACAATTAAACATTTTTTTTGACCATGTCATCAGAGGGGCTCCGTAGTAGTGAATAAAACTCTTTCAGTTTTGAGTTCTGGGGTGTAAATCTTTTCCATTGTCATTACTTACCTACTATTATGAATAAACATTCTGCATAAAATGGATATTTACAAGAAATTATAAGTAAAGGTGATTGTAAAAAAAACAAAAAACCCTAATATAAACAAATAATGTGGGTTTTAGTTGTAACAGGAAGGCACTGGCTAGCATTCCAGGTCAGATAACCCCAGAGTAACACTGTTGCTTTGGAGCCCTAAAAGCAGTGGTGTCAATAGTACACACATACCGGTATATTACTTAAGTAGATGTATAGAAAGTTGAGGTATTAACTTGACCTCTTTACTCAAGTAAAAATGAAAAAGTTTGTGCTCCAAAAATTGCTTAAAGTATAAAAGTATAAAGTAACCTTAAAAAAAAAACAGGCAGATGCCACTATATGAATTGAAAGCTAAATTTTTTGACTATTTCAAAAAATTCTTTGGGATAGAATGATGGGAGGTCTTGTTGGTCTCCATCTCCATCTCCCGATACGCTCTCGCCTGTGTCCGACCTTTCAGACATTTCAACATCTTTTTCTGAATCCGACATTGTAGCATGGCATAGACAATTCACCTTTGCAATTTGAAGAACACCTGCTTGCTTCAGATGATTTCCTTTAGTGTCAGCACATATTTGATGAATAGCTAATCAATGAGTGTTTGCGTTTGTGTTATATGACTCATCCAGTTACATTAGTTTTCACTAGATGTGGATGGCGCCAATGATCTGCATTGGGTGGCGCACATGAAGTGAAATAAATATTTATAAACATTAATCCGAAGCCAAGCGTAACAAGTAACGTTTGTTTTAAAAATGAAAACAAGAAATAGAAAGCATAGATACTTGTGTGAAAATGTAATGAGTAGAAGTCAGAAGTAGAAAGAAAAATAAGTAATGGAGTAAAGTATAGATACCTAAAAAGTGTACTTACGTACAGTAACAAGTATTTGTTCTTCGTTACTTGACACCTCTGCCTAAAATATACATAAGCAATGTGAAAAGTCATGGAGAAATATGGGAAATATTAAGGTATCTGATGCTGGACCCATTAACAATGCTGGAACCATAATAAATGCAAAAAGCAAACAATGGCACCTACCACACAACTTGCTTTTTTGAAATAACCCGTCTTAGGCTGCTGATCATTTTGCCACTTTGAACTTCTCTTAAAACCTTTTTGTGTAAGAAAAAAGCAGTCTGCTGCCTCAGAAGTTAAAATATAAATCTCTTTATTTTTATTTTTAAAAATTAAAAAGACCATTCACTTTTGAAAGTTGCAGGTCAGTTTGCCTCTTTACCAATTTAAACCCAGTTTGTGATGGTTTGTATTTAGTTTCTTGTGCAGTTTTGACCTTTATGTTCTTATATTTTATATCATCCTTAATGAGCTTACTTTTCCTGAATTAAAATCTCAAAATCTGTTCTCAGTAGTACAATGAAATTAAAGTTGTTGAAAAGGTTTCTTAGTTCCCTTGCTAGACACTGCATATACAGTAGGTGAATATTATTACTAATTTGCACAACCATTAGATCTACAAAAACACTTGAGACCAGATACTCCTGAGATAAAATGGATTTATTAACAAGAGGTAATTTGTAAACATACTGTTTATTTCTTGTTATGTTCAACGTCATAATTTTCTTATTTTCTCATTAATTTTTCTTACAAAATGTGGAATAATTCTTAAGCTGTGGAAACAAGAGGGTTGAAAGATAATTTTCATACCACTGGGTATTGCTAACAGCAAAAATGTTTATTTGTTTAAATACCTTATAAGATTATGTGCATGTATAGGTGTATACAGTATCAGTAAATAGTTTATTCTGTCTGTGAAGGTGTTGCATGCCTACTACATGAGCCATAAAAGTGTACTGTACATACATAGTAAAAATACATACAGATATTCACAGAATAAGCACTACGTTACTATATTCCTGCTAACAGAAATGATTATAAACAGGATTACAGTATAAATGCAAACACTTTGAAGTTGTGGGTCTACCTCTAAGTCATGGTTTCAAGACCACACTGTTGTAGCATTTTACATAGAGCTTGTTTTTGAAAGGGTTACACTGTTCCACATTGAGAAATATGCCAGCTTGCATGTACAAAATGTACAGCATGTGTCAGTGAAGTGAATAAACAACAAAGTACAAAATACTTCCCCAGGTTCATATAAAGAGCATGTTAACTCTTGTATACTACTACAAAAATAGTGTTTGAATGCTGCAGGCAGAGGTCATTCACATACATTTTATCATAGTTTTTTTTTTTTAACAGCAATGCATATAACAGAGTGATATACAGTCACGTTCCACAATCACTGGAACAGCAAGGACAGATTGTCTTTTTTAATTACAGAAGAGCAACAACCTTTGAATCTACAGAAGTAGAACCCAAACTTGAAGGTACAACATTTAGATCGGCATGTGTTCATTGCAGTGAGTCCTCTAAGACAGGTTTGCACAAACTGTGCCGTTGTGTTAACCATTTCAGTAACCGAAATCAGATGACTATCTTTTTTTTTTAAACTTAAATAATTGCAATATATAATAGAATAAATTGTCTTAATCTTGAAATTTGTCGCAAATCTTGCAGCTTTAACTCAGAGTTGAACCTGATAAAAAAAAAGAGTCAAACACTTTCCTGTTAAAGTAATCACACTGCATTTTTTTGTCAATTTCAAGTTAATTGAAAAATACTCAGAGATGAAATCTGTAACCCATTGATTGATGGCCATTAAAGGCAACAACATTTACTGGACTGTAAAAAAAATAAAAATAAAAGGCAGAAAGAAACGTAACATCCTATAGATGTTTAATAGTTGAATAGTATATTGTGTTTGAGAGACAAAAAAAATAAATCAACATTTCCTTATAGCAGAAAATATAAAATGATCACAATCTGCCTTCCCAGTGGTTTTCATAATGGATAAGTTATATTGAAACCCAACTTTCTGCTAAGAAAAATAGCTAAAACTACAGCATTATTACCACACTGGATGATGACGCTATATGGATATGTGACCAGTTTTTGGTTGGACATGAAAAGGATATAGGGAGGACTTTTGCTTCAAAGATTATTTATTTGAGAAATGTAGATATGTTAAATGGACATAGGGAGAGAGAATCAATTTCTTCTCAACCACCAAATGCTCTCTCATTCGAAAAAATAATTTTTTCCTCCAATGTTATACCAGGAATTTCGATATAAGGGAATGAACTAACTAAATGTAACAGGTGCGATCACAATATTAATGCACATCAGACAGTATTGAGACTAAGCAGTTTTTGAACTTTTTGTGTCCTCCGTCTGTACAAAACATCTTTTGAGAATTGCAAAATAACGCTTTGACAGATGTGTTACTATTGCACACTGAAGCCTCATGACTAAAACTCACTTTATGCAGAAAAGCAAGGTTCTGGCCGACCCCGGGTTCGAATCTGGCTTGTGGCATGTCCCTTTCCTGTCAGCCCACTGTCCAAAAAAAAAACAACAAACAAACAAAAAAAACAAAAACAAGCCACTATTGCCGTTAAAAGAAACCCAAGAAAAGCGAGTCTTATCTAAACACCTCAATGCTAATTTAAACTTACCTATTCTGGATGCACATATTTTGGGAGAAACATGGCAAAGCATGCATGGGTGCATCAGAATAAAAATGTTAAATAGCAGAGGATGAAAGTTATTTGAATGCTTGTACAATTTGGGTCTATGCAAAGGCAGTATAAGCCCAAACATTTGCTCATCACTGAAGAAAATAAAACGCATACTGTCCAAAAGCATACCTCAGATTTCTTCTACATACTGCTGCAGGGTAACGGTGTCTTCAAGCTACTGCCATTTAGGACAACATATTTCATATTTTCTCATTATGATGTCAAACTTTTGCAGGAGACTCACGTTTCAGGTTTTGCCTTAGGAGGGAATCGGTTTATGCATTGATGCATATGAATACCATTCTGAGCATAAAATTAAAGCTCCTTGGCAAACTTTTTATTTTGGGTTTCTGTTGAAAATCAGGTAGAAAGAAAACAGGCCAGGAAAAGATTGAAGGAAAACTGTTTAGGTTAGGTCAAACCTTTTTAGCATACCCTTGTGTAGCTGACAAGATGAATGTATTTATTTCTGGATAGCAATTAGCTTCTGCTATTTTATGATTTGTTGGAAAATGTTGGACACCCCCCTCTATAACATATGATCACCTCTGCCCTTATATCCAGGGTGGTACTGCCATTGTGCTCTTTCTAAAGGAGATCAGACATATGCAGTGAGATTATCAGCAACTGGCTTTTCAATAACAAAACAGCCCCTGCTTTAAGATAATTGTAGGAAAACAAAAAAACAAATAAATGATACAAAGCTCTGTGAAGTTTATTGGAGCCGAGATGGATGTGAGCCTAATTAAACCATAAGATGACCAAACACAGAGCACCATCTAATTTTCATTCCTTGTTGGTCAGATTAGATTACTTTACAATGAAACTCAGGGAATTAATAGGAAACAGTTGGAAACAACCATATTAGGATTATTAAACATACATGAAGACATAAATATCTTCCATTTTTGGTTTGGGAAGCACAGAGACACAAATACTTTGGATATCTCGCTGTCATTTCCACTGATCATTGTTCCCTCTTTTAAAAAACAATTAGCCTATTTTCTATGGGCTTATTTACCTGATTTTTTTCTTCTTCTTTTTTTTTTTTGCAATTCATTTATACAATGCTACATTGTTTGCAGAGAACTTCATTGATCAATAAAACTCAAGCCTGCTGAAAAACAGCCAGCAGCATTAGTGCTCAGTAAGTGCAAATTCGACACAGTAGTATATGATGCAAAATAATGTCATTGGTCACTAAGAAACACAGTTGCATGCAACTACAGTGACCTCTATTATTGTTAATATTATTATTGTTATTATTATTTGATTATTTAAACAAAAACTAAAAATAAAAGTCAAGGTGTCAACAGGACAACAGACCAAAAAATATACACCAAAAATGTGTCATCAAACAAGTTTAAACATCTACTGTACAAAAGAACATATATCTTTAACATGTACAGCTATACATATGCAAATATGGATGTTAACTTATATGTTATATTAACAAAGAAAATGTGTGAAGGACCAGTTTCCCCATTAGTTGGGCACTTTAGGCTCAATTCTGAGTGAGGCTTCATACATGCTTTCCTCATCAAGAACAAAGCTCTTGTCCAGTAGGTACTGAGCTACCTGGAACAGACCAAGAAACAACAATTGTTAAGAGACTTAAACTAAACAGTTATCATGTTTAATTCAGAAATAAAAAAGCTCTGACATCCAGATATATCATTTTTACAGTGCAGCCACTTTACAATAAACGCCAGGTCTTCTTCAGACGGAAAAGTGAATTTGAAAAGACATGAAAATGCGTCTATATCAGACATCAGAATTAATAAAGATATGGAACGACTTATATTTATTAATTAGCATTTAAAAACCATACAACCTCAATTCCCCAAAGTCCAGATTTAATTTGTTGTGCTTTCATTAATGGAAAATGATCAGGATAAGCATTGTATTTCAATTAATATGTAGCCTGTAAAACTTTCAGGTTTTAAGAGAGTTAGATTTTCAGCTGATACATCCCACCAAACAGCCTTTGCTTTCCAAGATCAGAATCTGTGCTCCTGTCTAAAAATACTCTGTTTTTTTCTTAACTATTTTAAACAAAGACTTGTCTATCATATCAACTGCTTTGAAGACACTTTCAAAAAGTCATGTATAACTATTTTAGTTTAGTCCAATGTATGCAATGTTTCCAATCTTTCTGTTTCCATTGCTTCACGGTCAAGAATGCAGCTCAATTGCATTATCTATGGTACCATATTCCTTTAAGTTCTGGTCAAAGTGATCATTTACAGATAGGATAATAAAAGACTTTAAGCTACAGTACATACTGGTTAGCTTCTAATGCTAGTTTATGATGCTATAAAATGGCACATCCAGGAACCATCCATACTGTCCCCATACAGGTTTAGCTCCAAGTGGTGGTCCAAAGCTTTATATTCCATACAAGGTATCCTGTTACCTTATACATCAAAGTCTAAAATGTCTCTCCTCCCTGTTGGGCAGTCTGCCATAAAAATAAATAAAAACCTGAAGGTGAATCCAATGGACTTCACAGCTCTTAGGATAAAGGGGATAATCTAATAGCTGTAATGCAGTGATGATTAAAATCTGTAGACAGGGCAATTCTCTATACTTGAAAAGAATAAAAGGCTTTCTCTTGAATCTTTACTTTGAGGAGAGGAGTTCAGATGCCTCTAAGTTCAAGTTACAAGTGATGGCAGGTTGATATAGATCATTCAACAGTCTAACGGAAACTTATTTAAAGAGCTGCTTCTCCTAAGGTGCTGTTAATCTCTTAGATTTTTTTTAAAATAACCCACAAGACAATAATCTGTTTATCCAAAGGGAAAACTAGGTATTCAAACATTTTTGAAGAGTTGTTTCCTAAATTTAGAGATGCATTAGGTGAGTAATTTTGAGTTTTGTAAATAAAAAAAACACAAACTAAAAGTTACAAAAGTATTGGAAAAAAAGTTTTTGACTGATTTGCATTTTTCTCCCACTATGAAAACCTATAAGTTATTTTTATATATCACAAGCAAAATAAAACTAATCTATGGTTTATACTGCATTTCTTAACATTTACAAATTTGTTTAGTTTTGAAACAATCAATAATTTGCTAAACTAGCAGATACAGCTGTCATGCTAAAAACCAAGAAAACATGAAACGCTGACCTATTTGGCAGTATCCATATGAGGTCTTGACTAAGACCGAAGGAAAATAAGTAAATCATCAGAAAAATGTTTTGCAGATATTTCCTTACTTTGTCCTTTAGTGTGACTTTAAACATAAGAGCATAAACATAAGTCAGACTCGAGGTGTGTTCATGACATCATATTTTAAGATTTTATAAACTATTTTTGAAATAGGGTTTAAATTAAATTCTGTGACTGCCACATGCCTTAAAGTAGTCATTTTTATTATTTACCACTTTAGGTATGTGTTTTTTGTTCATTCTATATTTATTCCAAGTACATAAAAGTCTCAGCTCCACCACTGATTTACCTTTGGTTGCAGGTCAATCTTATATGCTGTTTGTTGAAACTGCCTGATTTCTCTGATTATGTGAGATATCTTTAAAAGGAAGAAAAACATAGCAAGATGTTACTTTCTAGATGTAAAGTTCAAATTTACATCTCATGTATCAAATCTCAAAACCTCTTACCATCCTCATCTTTGAGAAGTTGACCAAATTGTCTTCAGTGTAGTTTGGTGTTCCTTCTTCAATGAAAGCCAAATCAGTGAGGTACATCCCCAGATATGGAACGCAGGGAGGATCACAGCTGGTGGGAGGAAAACACATTTTCATCATCCACCCTTTTTCTTTTTAACTTCGACCAACGGTGTCTCAACTGAACTTACTTCTTTAGAGCTTCTCTCAGGTTCTTGAACCTTCCTTCTGATGAAACCAGCTTTTGGAGCTTGTCAATGAGGGTTTTGGTCTATAAAAAAAAAGGAGTAATAATGAATGTTTTTCTTTGAAAGGACATCAAGAACAAACTGGAACAACATCTGCAGAGACAGGTACCTGTTTGGAAACCTTGAGCCAGGTCTTCTTGAGGCGGAAAACGGAGCTACGGTTTAGAGAAGAGGTGATTTCGAGCACAGCATTGTAGTTATGCAAACAACGGCATATGTCAGCCACAGCCACCCATTTCTCTATGACAGCCACCCGGGAGACCAAGTCGTCACATCGCAGGATCTCTGTGGCGATCAGGTTGCTTGTCTTTGGTGGGAAGAAAAAAACATTTTGTCATATCAGGGTAAGTTAAATAAGCTAAAGGTGTCTGTAAGATTATGTTCCTTACATCATTGAAGTGCTTTGTGGTTCTCATGATATATGGGGTCTTCTCATTTTTGTCATTCTTCATCCAACCTTGACCAAAGAATTCCCTGTAATTTAAAAGGAATTGAAATTATAGAACTGACGTATTGTGGCGTAGGTCACTGATGTGTACAGCTGTATTATGACGCTTACTCATAGGGAATGACTTTAAACACCAGGTGGTCAAGGAGAGTTAGTTGCTCTGCTATTTCCATGGCAGAGTGGCTCTCAAATGGTTCAGCTTTCCCCCCTCCAACCTTAGTTACACAAAGAAGTTGATATATCAGTTAAACACTAGAACATATAATTTATAGGCAACCTCTGCTTACATCTATGTTTTATGCAAGCACAGCTACAAATCGTTTGAGCTATGCTTGTAAAACCCTAAAATGTCCAGAGACTGAAGTTTTTTCTTGTTTGTTTATGCAAAATCACTCAGACTGTGTTAACTTTCAAGTCTTGCAATAGATTTTCAAATGGATATATAACCTGTAAGAGAGCAGATGTGTTAATATTGAGACTAATGAAAGTTGGATAAACTGTATATATTTATGGCTACATCAAAGTTTTCAAATTTAAAGAATATAAAACAAGACAAAAAAGATTAACTTATAATTTTCCTTATAAGTCAGGATTCTGCACTTCAGTGTTATTCTTATTATTCTTTTGTTAGTGCATGGTTGAAAAGTCTATAAGAAAAAGTTAAGGGAGTGTAAAAAAATGTCCAATATGTAAATAATTAAAAGGACATGTTCCATGTCAGTGCACAGAAATCTTTTCTGTATACTTCCTCTTCCAAACTTTACCCTGTCTTTACAAACGAATCAAGACAGAAAATGAGAGCCTTTCCTCAATTTTATCTTCAACACAAAAGAGATTTACAAATGTAAAAGAAAACCTTATTTGGTTGAAATTATGTTGAAAACAGGGCCTTTTGTTTCCTTTATCTCAGATATACTATTTGATTTCTGTGAACTGTATACACTCTATGCAAGTAGCTAATAAAGGCCATTTCAATCAAAATCAGAATATATAAAAAAAGTGTTTATTTCTGCAACTTTGTATCAAAATGTTACACTTGAAATCAGGAATGCAGCTTTTTATTACTTTTTATTTAATACCAAAGTGTTTTTGATTAGTACTCAATAGATGGAATATACGCTAAGTTCAAAAACCAAAAGATGCCCTACTTGGACTTGGGGTCCCAGCTGAGAGCCAACCAAAGTTTAATATACAACAAGGCTTTGTAAAACTGAAAACTCAAGTTTACATAAAACCTTTTTCTTTTTGCATGCTTGAGTATTTATATTAATCACATCAGTGAGAGATATAGAGCTGGAAAATTCTATTGTTTGTGTTTGAACACACAAAATTAATAGAAATATGTTGTTATGGGCTTGCATTGCTTGTATTGTAAAAAAAAAAAAAAAAAACACAGCAGGATTACAAACCAAGCTGTTCCTCTCAGTTGCCAAATTAACTGGGCTTCCAAATACAACATACTTAACTTGAATCCAACATGATTTCCAAATCAAAGTGTGAAACAAATTGCAACTTGCATTTCTAATTGCATTTTCATTTAAATTGCTGCAATAATTGGAGTGTTTTCTAGCAATGTCCCTTTTTTGTTTCCGAGCGTGAGTCAAGTAAATATACTTTTTTATGCTGCACATTGCAGGGCTTGTTTTGACCAGCACATATGTGGTGAAGCCTACCACATAACTGTTTCATTAAACGGCGTATTAAAAAGTAACTTTCAGCAATACAAGACAACCAACAAAAAAAATAAATAAGCGACAACATAAAATTTCACATACTTATTCACATTACATCCTTATCCTCAGCTTTTTTTAACCCTCCCCTCTGACAATATTAGAAAACCAGATCTTACTTTGTTTTGTTTTATTGCAATTATCTTTTAATCACAAATATTGCAATGCTAGGCATCTTTTTGTACAGTAGAACAAATTACCGGTAAGCATATTAAAGCTTTTACCGCAAAGAGAGAAAAAATAGTAAAAAAAAACAAAAAAACTTTAATGTTTCTTAAAGTTTCATGTGGCCATTAGGCTTTTCAGCTGGTTTAGGCACAAGAAGAATATCAATATGTATTTCAAAACAAGTCAGGTACAAGATGAGGATTCAATATGTTAAACCAATCAATGTATGCTTACGTACATTTGGACTGATATTGCCCTCTTGAACTTTTCTACAAAAGTTCAGAATCAGAATCAGTTGTAAAAAGGTTAAAAATCACCTGTTCTTAAAGGATGAGTAAACAACCTGTGAACACAGCAAATGACTGACTGGACTCACCAGTTGTGTCACATCTTCCATGGTGATCTGGTTGTCACTGTGATCCTCCTGAGTTAAAGTCCTGACAGAGAAAAAAAGTTAGCATTAACCTGGACTGGGTTTTTCCTCAACAAATGTAGATTGTATTGTTTTGTTTTATTAAGATGAGAAATTTTTTTTAACAGTTATTCATATCCAAAAGACACCTTAAAAGATGTTTTTATTTTGTGCATTTTTGTTATTAGGTGCATTTTCGCTAATACCAATTTGAAAATTACTTTTGTTCTATTTGGATTTTTTTTTTTCATGCTTTGGTTTTCTGCTCATCTCATGACAATAGAATAAAAATCACAGCTTTGTCAAACTGATAATTAAATTAAGTAATCCCTCTTCTTTTATTTGTTGTTTAATAATCAAGCAAATGATCTCTGTGAATCCTGACTTAGGGCAGACATACATAAATTAAAGAATGAAATCCAGTTTGATATTGCAGTGTCATTGATACCTGATTATATTTGCTGCTGCTTTCCTCTCTTGTGTAAGCAGCTCAGGATCATGCATCACTTCCTCCAGGAAGGCAATAACCTTAGTTTTCAGCTCATTGTTACTCTCAAAGTCCTTTAGAGACAGAAAAAAACATGACTTTACATAAAACTTTACAAAGAATAATAAAGTGGATCAGGATTCCAAAAAAAATCTTCCTCTCATGTCATCCAACTTGTTAAAGTCTTCAGTTTTACTTATTAGTTTTTGGATACTTGCTGGTTATTCAGCAAAGCAGTTTTGCTACAGACAGAAACGTAAAAGTATCTTGAACAGAACATTTACCGGGAAGTGTTTGGACACCCAGTGCCTCAGGACATTCAGGACTCTGTTGGTCGCCGCTCGTCTGATCACAAACTCCTTGTCACCATTTCTCTGATCTGTTGGGAAACCTGAAGTTCATAAAAAAAACAAGCAAACAAACCCTGTTAAAACAGACTACAAATATCTTAAATGACTTTGATACTTGGAATGATAGCATGGAAATAGAACTTTGGTTTGTGTAATAAAAAAAGAAGAGAGCTTGTAAGTGTATGGAGAGAAAGCTGCAGCGCAATGTTTCCTGCTTATCTGGGACCCTAATAGTTAATGCAAAGGTAAGGTTGATAAATGTCAAGTTATTTTATATCTATGTAAACCGAGCCTTTTTTTCATTAAGCTAATTTTTAAATCCAATTAGGAAGCTGGGGCTACCGTCCAGAAACAAAATGGTGAAAACTAACTTCTAGAAGTTACAAATTGCAGCTTTGCACCTTAATTGGAACAGTTTGCGCTTATTGAGTGGAAAATGATTGCTTTTATGTTTTGCCTTTTATCGTGAAACACAAGTATAATAAGTTTTACTTTTCTAAATGCTTAAAACACATAACAAATCTTAGTTTTTAAAACAGCAACTCCTGAACTAGATAATTATATTTGAGAGTCATGTTAAATAATAGACTTCAGCTGTATATATATTTGGACGCACTGTATATACTGTATATACCCCCATGCACCTTTTGGCACATTTTTCTTTTTGACTATTGAGCCGATGTAACAAGTACATTTTTCCAGTATGAAATCAGTAAAGGCAATCAATGGTTGATCTGTTCACAGCTGGTTGAATTTTGTAAAGATCTTAAGAGAATGACAGAATTGCTCCAGAAAAGCAATTCTGCTCTTCTTGAGCAGAAAACATCATGTTAAAAAGTTGATGCTTTTAAAAAAAGAAAAATTACAAAAAATTTAGCTACTAATTGTAGTTTGATGAAAAGGCGAGACAAAAGAGATGGCAATCTATATAAAAGGCAAAAGTTGCAGTTGCAATATCACAAAGAGAAGTTAGAGGTGGACAAATAATTGTCTCCACTCTGCCAAACGTTTTTAGAGACTTACAGAGACCAGATAGCTGTGCATACCTGTGCTGGCAAGAGACATCCGCCGATATTTTTCCTTTGTAGGCGTTCCCTCATTGGCTCCAGCTGTGGCAATGGCAAAGGCCGAGGCAGCAGACAGAGCACTGCGGTTGTTGTCGAGCTCCCGACACGAAGACATGACCATGCCATTGTTATAGGAAAAGAGAGAAAACTCTACAGAAAAATACCAAAAAAAGACATGTTTCTTTATTCAGACCATGTTTTTTAAACTAGCAGATATGTAGGAAAGCAAGGAAAACATTAAAGAAGAACAGAAAAGAATGATCATATTTTTATATTCAAAACAAATTATTTTTAAAAGAAAATGGTTATGTAACTGCCTTTTACTAAAAATAACTAAATATATTCAGACTGCAGAATAACCTGGTTTTCCTTGCACAAGCCTCCACTAGGGAGCACTAGAGACCGACACAACAGTTTCCCTCCAGACTCTTCTCTTCAAGAGGCTTTGATATTTAAGATGGTTGCTGCTAAATATAGCCTGCAAATATCAGCATAACAGTGAAATCAACAGATTCTCTGCTCTCTGCCACATTCGACTCACAGGCTCGTTTGCTGATAGAAATCTCTCACTCGGCTCAACAGTTTCACTAGATTTCACATGTCATTGTCCAAGATTTGCTGTTTAAAATCTAGAGTGTATTTATCAACAATAAAATTAGAACTCGAAAATAATCTTGGTGCCAGTGAAACACTCATTACTGGGGGTGGCAGGGAAAGCACGCTCTTGATGTAGTTGCTATGACACAAGTTTTTCTTAGCACCTACAGGAGCCAAGCTTTGGTTTTCCCCACATGCTCATATCCATGAACACATTATTATTTACAGCAGCTTTGTCCCAATTTCCTTTAGAAAGCACATAGGATATACCAGCCCTTGATGAAGAGAGATTTTTATTCTAGATTTGAAAGGGATTATTGTAGCATCTAAATAAACTAAATATATGACTAACTACAACTGAGAAAAATGTAATTTAATAGAATAAATGCACTCTGATGTCTGTGATGCTCTTGTGTTATGTCACGCTTCTGGTCTTGTACCTGAGGAGTTTTTGCATTTGACGTTTTTTGGTGTGGTTGGGGACTTGGTTGGAGATGCTTCTGGGTCCCCGTCGTCACTGTGGTTTTGATCATTATCACTCTCTTCTCTTACAGAAAGATCTAAAAGGAAACAAGAATTGGCTAAAACATTAGAATTACAGCAAACTATGTATTTTCCCAGGATTTCTTGCAGCTGACCAACCTTGTTTGCACACTGATGTCTCTTCAACCTTGTCCTTTTTATCTTCTCCCTCATCAGGGATTTTGCTTGAAATGGGACTGGACACATAGAGCTTGTTGATGTCCAAGGTGGTCTTGCTAAATGGTGACATGGTGGAATACATGCTTGCATAGCCATTTGAGGAGCAGCTGAGGGCAGCAAGGTCAAGAGCTTTGCCCCCAGTGATGATGGGGATGTTGAGAGAGAGCTTGCGTCTGCGGTTAGGGGAAGAGTTCTTGGCAATGGCAAGAGGAGGAGGGGAGGAAAACTTCCTGCTGGCTCTAGGAGAACTTGGAGTCTCTCCATATAGGAGTTTGTTGTTCTGGCTGCTGGCAAAGAATAACTCCAGTGACCTGCATTGAGATTAGCATAAAGAAACAGGTTTGCATGATATGATAGCCAGTTTTAATTTATGGTTCATTTGCTAAATCCACATAAGATTAAAACTATACAAACATGCTACCATGCACCCCTAGAATAGGATAAATGTCACATGAGAAAATACACCTCAACCACTTACCAACAGGCTGGTAACATCGGGATATTAAAGTTCCTTTCTTGGCTAAATTTGTAAAATTATAATAGCATAATCACTCACTAACACTGGATCATCAATTACTGTTTTAATACTATATAAATCTAAGAGTAAACTTCACAGGTAATGAGATAAATATAGATCTATTCATTGTTTATATCTGCTTTTCGGGGAACATGTTTTGTTTTTAGGAGAGTTTGTCATTCTGTGTACAGGATAACTTGAAAAGTTATGGATGGATTTTAAATAAATTTTTACCAGAGTTGCTCCTTGTGCCAATGAATAATTAATATAAATTTGGTCATGATTCAAATTTGACTTTTAACTATACAGTAGGTGTACGGTCACAATCTGGGGCAAAATTTGCTGCTTGGAGGTCTGTGTTTTCTGGGTGCTATTCTAGTATTATGTATATTCTGACCATGTATAGCAAAAACGAAACTATAAAAGTCAGTGTCATTCCACCCCCAAAACAGAACAGTTTAAATTATTAATTAAAAGAAATAAATAATGATATTGTAGTTATGTCATGGAGCATATAAACCTCCAACCATTACATGCAAAACAAGTAAAACCAGCATTCAAAAAGGTTTTTGTGAGCAAGTCTTAAGATTTTGGAGCAGGATACAGACTGCAGCATTTCAGTAAACCTCTCCCACCACCCTCCTGCCGACCTCACGGGTTCCCATAAATAGCACAGCGAGTGATAGTGCGCATGGCCACTGCTGACACAAGCAGCCAAGTGTAGGTGTCTCACAGTGACATTACAAGCACCATGGGGAAGTATACTGCAGGGCGTGGACATGGGGAGCTCTGTCTGATCCGAACCCCATAGCTGGTTCCTCACTGTAGGCATGCAGTCCTGGGATTTAGCCCATAATGCTCCTCTACTGTCTATATTTCACTCTACACATGCCTTTAAAAATAGACAGATAAAAAGGACAGGCGGGGTGTGGTCCTGCAGCATCAAGGATAGTTGGCATAGAGGGACAGATCGGAGTTTAGACTTTCCCAGTTAAAATAAGGAACTAGGCCAAATTGCTCCCCTACAGCTCGAAACAAAATCTGCACAAGTGGATGCGGACAAACTGGAGCATTTCAAAGCCTTGGCCTTATTTAACATTTCACTGTGTTCTTATTACCTGCTAAACCAGATATTGTGCTGTGAAAAGAAATCTGTCACATTGCAGATTTCTTCCAAGCTCAGCTATTTTGTCACTTTGCAATGTTTCAGTTAATTAAATAATTTTTCTAATAACCGACAGTTAGTGTTCTGAAAACCTTGTGGAGGAATTTTACTTTGTGTGTTTTGCAGAATTGTTTGATTCCGCTACAGTGTAAGGTTTTCAAGCATAATTGGTCAAAGTTATAAACAGGGATTTACTTGCTCCAAAAAATGGCGGCCCATCATGATTAGAGATATTTCATGGGTAGAAATACAGAATATCAGACAAGGTCTTTGCAAGGTCAGATATTTCAAAAATAAATATGTAGTGAAAAAAATAAGGTCTGCACAGCGGTGTTATGGGTAGCATTTCTGCCTTGTAGCAAGAAAGTTCTGGGTCCGATTCCAGGCCCAGGATATTTCTGCATGGAGTTTGCATGTTCTCCCTGTGCTTGCATAGGTTCTCTCCAGGTACTCCGGCTTCCTCCTACAGTTCAAAAACGTGACTGTTAGGGTAATTTGCTTCTCTAAAGTCTCCTTAGGCATGAGTGTGTGTGTGAATGGTTGTTTGTCCTGTTTGTCTCTGTGTTGCCCTGTGATAGACTGGTGAACTGTCCCATTGTAAACAATCTCAACATCTTTTTTTAAAAACTGGAATTATGTTCTTTTCTTAAAAATCTTTATTAGGTTTCACTTGGATTTATATGGTTTATCCCCTTACGAAGACTTTTGTTACATTATTCCACAGAATATTTTCTCATAAGTCTTGAAAATTATTAAAATGAATTAGGGAAATGGGAGACCAGTCTTAGGAAATTCTTATATGTTGTTGAATCCCTAATGGGAACCATAAGGAAGGCAAGTAAAAGCTACGACCCTCTAGAAGTTATTTTTTTTTTTTTTGTCAGGCATTAGTGTGCTCTTAAGGTGTTTTTGGTGAGTTGGACACTTCTGGGGAGTTTACCCCTTTTTCATATTTTATTTCGCTGTGGTTCTCCGGATTCTGAAATTCTTGTAAACAGCAGTGTAACTCTTTCTAGACAAATAGATATAATTACTTTTTTCCCCAAGATGTTCTTGATTTTCTCTGATCTGGGTAATCAGGTTGCTTTTTCCCAACTTCATGTTATCAGACAGATGCTGCTTAAGTGTTTTATTGATTGGCTGGTGAATCTGAACTTGTCTTTCCAAAAATCTGGGACTATGGCTTATGATTTATCAAGGCCAGGGGAGACTCATTTACAGTAATCTCAAAGGCTCTTCATTTTTGTAGAAAAAGCATCATTAGTAGGTTTTAGAAAGAAGGGCAAGGTTAGTTTCAACTGTCTTTCAACTTTCAACTGAAATCTGTCAATCAACCAGCTAGCCAGCCAGCCAATCAATCAATCAATCAATCAATCAATCAATCAATCAATCAATCAATCAATCAATCAATCAATCAATCAATCAATCAATCAATCCTCATAATTACATTTAAAATAAATTATAATTGATTGACTGTTATTTTTTTTTACAATCAATCAGTCAGTCGATCAATCAGCTGAATGTAGTAATTCAAATTCAAATTCTTTCAAATTCCATATTAGTTTTTAACAGACCTATTTTGCTAAGTAAAGGTTAAAGAAATAGAAAAATAAAGAAATTAAAAATAAATAAAAATATTTCTGAGTAACTGAAAGGCAAAAACTGAAGACTTCCCTATGGGGGCACACACTACACCAGCATCAGAAAGATGCAGGTCTGCCAGACACTTGACATTTGGTTTGTTGTTTGACCGTAAAAGTTGTTGAAAACAGTAAAATATTCAAAAATGTTAAAAATGCTTCATAACTCACTGAGCAGGGATGGCACTGATGGGCTTCTTGTAGATAGTAATGAGTTTATCCAGCACCACATCAGCGGTGGTGAATACACGGTAGGAGTGCAAGAAAGTGTTCAAGAAGTCGATGGAAAGGAAACGGAGATCAGTCAGTCTTTCCAGCAAACGTTCAACACTGGCGTAGCGAATCTGTAGCACTTTGCAGGAGTTCATCATCTTGCTGAAGCGGATATCCACATCATCACAGTACAGACTGGAATCAGATCTGTTTGCAAAACAATGGTCCACAGAAACCAGACTTTAAAGGGTTCTGAGCAGGCCAAACACACAGCATTGAATGTAGATGAATTATATCTCACTTTATCATCTGAGGCACTGTGACTTTAGAGTTGTCTTCAAAAGCATTCATCATCAGACCATTGCAGCGGATGTTGTCTATGCACTGCAGGAAAGGGGCAGTGAAGTAAACAGATGAGACAGAGGAAATGTTAGCAAGTTCTCTTATACGAAGGCTTTCAGCCAACATGCTCAGCTTTGTGTCTAACTGCATGAGATTGTTATGTGTGTTGACATGCCTGGCTGATGTCACTGGTCCAAGCAGACTTCTCCTGCCTGGAGGAGGCCACCAGGATGATTGTGAATGACTGGCTGTCCTTTGGCTCCACAACAATCTTGAAATCCAGGTGCTCCATGTCCTGGCCGCTCTTGTCGGATTTAGCTTTGAGGGGGAGCACAAAGGCTAGATGTCATTTTCTCTATAGCTCTGATCAAATATGCAGACAAGGTATAAAAATGCTTTTTAGGGCCTGCTATGAGTTCTGCTTAAAATACAAAAGTTGTAATATAAAGCATAAATACATTGTTCTAGCAAAGCCAGTAAAATATGTTTCTCAAAGATTTAAAATGGATTAAGAAATCTGGTAACCAGAACTAACTAATACCAATTAGTTAGATTTGATACCAACGGGTGAGTGAATACACCATATGGACTTTGGAGTCCTCTAAACTGAAAAGGGGCTATATGAGTACAGGCAATTTACCGTGACTATATTAAGCACCACCAGGTCGTGGCAAAAACAACTCTCTTTCATATGGAAGCCATTAATGAGGGAACAAGACAGTGTTACCTATTTTCTAGAATCCCTGGGATGTTTCAAATATTATGTCAAAAAAGTGTCAAGAATTAGATGTCAAGACTGTGAAAGAGAGCAAGCCTTTTCCACAGATAATAGGAAGGCTAAATCTAATACAGCAATTAATGTATCATAGAACATTGTGGATAATGAAAAAAATATGCAGAAATACTCTATGGATCTACACACAAGTAGGCTGTAGTATTACTAATGCTAGCTACACTAAGCTGAGCTTACCACTAATAAAAGAAGCTGGAGAGGGAAAATGTTTCAATACTTTTCTTTTTTTGTCTGATTTTATAGTTCCTAATGTAATATATTCATCTGTTGAAATTAGTGCTGGTAGGTCAAACCTCATAAACCATCATAAATTGTTATTAGTGCATCGTTGATTTTCTCTGCTACGTCAATCTGTTTTAGCAAAATTACACTGAACTGCCGGAAAATTAATAAAGTTGGGTACAAAGGCACGAAAAGGTATTAGAGAATCAAATTTTAAACTTGCAAAATAATTCATTGGCTCTCATATCTCATACTCTTAAGATAATTTAATCTTATATTTTAATTTGATATTATGTTTTAGTTGGGCTGCCCAAATTATTAAATGTGAACCCAGTGTGATTATCCAACATCATAGATTATTATTTACTATGGCAATCAGACTTCACGCAAAACTTAAAACAAAGTGCATATAACGCAAAATGCTGCAAGCCGGAACGATAATTAAACACTTACACTCGTCATCTGTCCCCTCAGGCTCCTCCATCAGAGTGCAGTCTATAAGCGAGACCACTCCGTTCTAAAAATAGCATGTAAAAAATAAATTTAGTTTTTCCCACCAGCCTCTTTTCACTCACCATAATACATCTATGCGTAACAGCTACTATTAGCAAAACATGCTTTTAATCTAAGAATGCACATTTCTCAGGATTTATCACAAGTGTTGAGTGTAATGCATGTAGTATTGTGAAATAAGGCACAATATCATCCTAATGTGATGCAGATAAATCTTGCTTGTGTGCATTAACCTGGCTGTTGTATGAAAACAGAAATTAAAAGTCAATAAATTGCATCGTATGCTAACAGCTATATTTGCTTCACAAATATATGCAGATATATATATATATATTTTTTTTTACAGCTGGGGTATGATAAGTATTAATGTCAACATTGTTAAACTACTCAGACAAACATGTGTTATGGATCTACATGCTCCTGTTGAAATGGCAGGTTTGTGTAATGCAATAAACTAGGACCATAGTAATTCATTTGAAAACATTTGCCACCTTCATCATCCGTGTCATCTGTTCTGTACGATTCAGCTGAAAAGAAAACAAGTGTGTTAAAAGGAGAAATGACAAAAAAAAAGAAAATATTGTATATATAATAATGTGCAGTAACCTAGCTAAATATGTTTATACAATTCAGAGCTCTTTGAGAGGATTCTGTCAGTGTGTCATTTTGTTATGGCAATAATTGTTCACTTTTCCTTCCAAGGTTGTTCAACTCCTATCAACTTTTGTATATGGCTTTAATCAGTTAACTCCATAGATTTTGTTTCTGGACTTTAACTTAGCCAGCAGAAGGCTATATTTTTGCCTCCGGTGAAATAATGCTTTTATTAATAACAATAAGTGTTTGAATTAAGTGTAATGCTAAAAATGAAATAGATTTTTTAAATCTAGCTGAAAATGGGGGCAGACATGTATTTGTAACTTTTCTTATTTATCTCCATATTAAAATAAACCCCAGTAAATGATAAAAAAGTTTTCCCACCATATCACACAGCCACCACCATGCTTTACTAGATGGATTGCCGTTACATGTTTACTGCATCTGTACCAGGGTTTGTAGACATTCCTGTGGATCATTTGGATTTTGCTTTTTATTTTTTCTATAATTTTTTTTAGCAGTCCTGCAATTTATATTGCTCTATTTGGAAAGCAAATTGATAGTTGGAATAGTCATGTTTTTCTTAAAGTTTTTCTTCTTTCAGATCTTCCATGATTGTTGCATTTGTAAAAATCTCTTTCTGCTTGTATAGATGTTTATTTCAGTCATTAGTAGCCTGCTGCAGGTCCCATGATGACATTTTGGAGACTTTTATTTTTACATCTCGCAGTCTGCTTTCCTTTTGAACTGGGGTATGAAAGCAGCTTATTTGAGCGTTCTTCAATTGCTGACTACTTCCCCTAAAGTACCACAGACCGAGTACATGATGTGACACTCCAGTGTGTAATTTTAGCTATATTAAGTGGGAATAAATGTGAGAGTCCTGATTTGATCCTCGTTAGAAATAGAATTTGCATCCTAAAGAACATAAAAAAGTTCTTTCATTTTAACACTTGAATTAAATAAAATAAAGATGCATTAATATTTACCTGAAATTCTCAGATATGTTTTGTCACAGAGAAAAACACATACTACCCTGCGTTACCTAATGTTTTTCCTTAACTATAAAGGGTGGGTTGCTCTATGATAGACATTTCTAAAATGAGTTTATATTGTAGGTGTATACTGTATATGTGTGCTGTTGATTATGGCCCTCATTTCAGCTTAGTGTGCTGTAAAATGTTTAAAATGAGGAAAAGCTGTCATTTAGGTTAGCTCTGCAGCAAAGGCTTACCTTGGTGAGATGAAGCTTGCCCCCAGAACCTCTGGTGCAGATGATCAAATGCTTAGAAAAGAGAAAGCACTGCCTCTCCCCCTCCTTCTTTAGAGACAGAGAACCCAGCCGCCCACGGGTGATCTTGCCCTTCTCGCTCATTGGCACCTGGATTAAAGATCCTGGATATGCATGAATTAAAACAGCTCGCAATTAGAACAGGAGATCCGTATTTACAGATATTATTATACACTGTACACAAAGACCAAAAATATGTTTTCTCATCATCTCACATTAAATAGGATTATTTTCTTCTTAGTTTTATATCAGCTAGGATTCAGGAAATTATCTCTTTTAATAGAAAACAAAATATTTGTATGACTCCAAATTCAGAGCTCTAAATACAGTAAGATCATTCACAGCATACATAAAAATTATCAGATTTCACTTTGCAAATGCAACCAAGGACAAAGTGAAACGAGTTTAACCACAATGAAAATCATTATATCACAATGACAACATGGCATCTGGCAGAATGATAAAGGTTCAGCCCAAATATGTCTCTTAAATAGAATATGTTCCAAAGTCTATGCTGCTGTTTAATTAATTAGTAAAAAGTGGTGTAAGTAGGACAAAACTAATGTTTGGTGATCATAACTGACCTAATATAGTTAAGGGTTTAATCTGACTTAAAGCTACAGTGTAATTCTCAGTGATGTCTAATGGTCAGCCTTTCGCAACAAGACCAGCTCCCTCCTTCGCTTCTACCCCTCTCCCCTGAAACTTATTTTTCATACCCCCTCTCCATCTAATTGCACTTAAATTAACTTACAGTATGTAACCTTCCTGTTAAACTTGTTTTTCATCCAATACTCAGACACACAAAAGAATAAAATAAAATAATATATATATATATATATATATATATATATATATATATATATATATATATATATG